AGATAGATAGATAGATAGATAGATAGATAGATAGATAGATAGATAGACAGACAGACAGACAGACAGACAGACAGACAGACAGACAGACAGACAGACAGACAGACAGACAGACAGAGAGATGGACGGACGGACGGACGGACGGACGGACGGATAGAGATTTTTTTCAATCTTTGCTGCCATTACTAATTTAATATAACTTATTTTCACACTCCTAATTAACAGCCTATTTTCTAAACCATTGTATACTTTCTCAACTATAAACTGTAGTTTTATTTTTCATTTATTTACCAGGTTTTTCTCTCTTGCCTGTTTTTTTCCAAGAACGATCCTTTAAAGCCTAAAAGTGAAAGCAAATTAAGTTTATCTAAAAATGTATAAACATCCTGCTGGGTCACAAAAAGAACATCACAATGAGGGCTAAAATTAAAACTTTAGGGCTACGAATGGATCAGACTGCATTAAAAAAAATTCCTGGTGTGGATATAATTTGTTTATTCTCACTGAATCCAAGAACTTTCATGAGAAAACCATGAGCTCTATTTGCTGTTATTAATATGGATTGTCTGGTTATTTAAATAAATGAACAAATAAACAAATAAATAACACATGTGCAAGTAAGTTCCAACTGTGTTAATCAAAAATCATTACAGTGACACTGATAATAGTATTTGTGCAAAGTGCCATATAATATGAAAAATGCAACAACTTTATTTATTTATTTATTTATTTTATCCATTCATTCCAGACATGTCAAAACCATTGCACACTGCACAGGGTGTATCAACATCAACACCAATATGAATCTGTGCATCCATATATATATATATACAGTGCCTTACGAAAGTATTCGGCCCTCTTTAACTTTTTAACCTTTTGCCACATTTCAGGCTCCAAACATAAAGATATAAAATTTAAATTTTTTGTGAAGAATCAACAACAAGTGGGACACAATCATGAAGTCGAAATTTATTGGACGTGTCAAACTATTTTAACAAATAAAAAACTGAAAAGTGGGGCGTGCAATATTATTCGCCTCCTTGCATTAATACTTTGTAGCGCTGCCTTTTGTTGCAGTTCCAGCTGCAAGTCTCTTGGGGTTTGTCTCTATCAGTTTTGCCCATTCTTCCTGCAAAACAGCTCGAGCTCAGTGAGGTTGGATGGAGAGCGTTTGTGAACAGCAGTTTTCAGCTCTTTCCCCAGATTCTCGATTGGATTCAGGTCTGGACTTTGACTTGGCCATTCCAACACCTGGATATGTTTATTTGTGAACCATTCCATTGTAGATTTGGCTTTATGTTTTGGATCATTGTCTTGTTGGAAGATAAATCTCCATCCCAGTCTCAGGTCTCTTGCAGACTCAAACAGGTTTTCTTCCAGAATGGTCCTGTATTTGGCCCCATCCATCTTCCCATCAATTCTGACCATCTTCCCTGTCCCTGCTGAAGAAAAGCAGGCCCAAACCATGATGCTGCCACCACCATGTTTGACAGTGGGGGTGGTGTGTTTAGGGTGATGAGCTGTGTTGCTTTTACGCCAAACATATCATTTTGCATTGTGGACAAACAGTTCGATTTTGGTTTCATCTGACCAGAGCACCTTCTTCCACATGCTTGTGTCTCCCAGGTGCTTGTGGGAAACTTTAAACAACACTTTTTATGGATATCTTTGAGAAATGGCTTTCTTCTTGCCACTCTTCCATAAAGGCCAGATTTGTGCAGTGTACGACTGATTGTTGTCCTATGGACAGACTCTCCCACCTCAGCTGTAGATCTCTGCAGTTCATCCAGAGTGATCATGGGCCTCTTGGCTGCATCTCTGATCAGTCTTCTCCTTGTTCCAGATGAAAGTTTAGAGGGACGGCCGGGTCTTGGTAGATTTGCAGTGGTCTGATACTCCTTCCATTTCAATATGATTGCTTGCACATTGCTCCTTGGGATGTTTAAAGCTTGGGAAATCTTTTTGGATCCAAATCCGGCTTTAAACTTCTCCACAACAGTATCTCGGACCTGCCTGGTGTGTTCCTTGGTCTTCATGATGCTCTCTGCGCTTTGAACAGAACCCTGAGATTATCACAGAGCAGGTGCATTTATACGAAGACTTGATTACACACAGGTGGATTATATTTATCATCATCAGTCATTTGGGACAACATTGGATCACTGAACTTCTGGAGTGAGTTTGCTGCACTGAAAGTAAAGGGGCCCAATAATATTGCACGCCCCACTTTTCAGTTTTTTATTTGTTAAAAAGTTTGACACATCCAATAAATTTCATTCTGCTTCACGATTGTGTCCCACTTGTTGTTGATTCTTCACAAAAAATTTAAATTTTATATTTTTATGTTTGAAGCCTGAAATGTGGCAAAAGGTTGA